ATAATATCCTACCTGTTAGACGGGACTGTGTATACCCGCTGGGTTGGAAGGGAAAGAGGAATTTGGGAAGCCCGGGCGCTAGCCATTAAGACGCGAGCGAAAGCGGCGCAGAGCTAGCAGTTTGTCGGAAGGGGTAAACCGGCAAATTTGGTTGTGAATAAGTGTAGCGAAGCTGCACTAGCGTTCGCCAAAAGAGGAAAAATCGGCATTAAGTAGTTATGGGAAAAAGTTGCCGAGCGTAAAAGCGCAGCAAGGCTGCGCCGAGCTGGCATCTGCCGTAAACGGTGGAACTCGGCAGGAATTGCTCGTAGTAGCTTGTGGTTACGGAAGCAACTAGTTGTGGTAGCTGTGTTGTTACGGAGGCGGTACAGGGTAGACTTCGGCAGAAATCGGTTACGATAACTGTTTCATTAGACGCGAGATAAAGCGGTGCTAGTGGAATTCGGCAAAGACTGGTTGTAGTAGTTAGTTCATTGGATGCGGCGAAAAGCGGCGCTGAGCCAGTACTTTGCCGTAAACAGCGCAGCTCAGCGTGAATTGGTTGTGGTCGCGACAGAGTCTGCGCCAAACCGGCATCCGCTGTAACACGGCAAAGCTCGGCAACGTAGTCGTAAAACCGCCGCAAAAGGCTGCGGTAAGTCGGCGTTTTCCGGCCGACGGGTTGTAAAATCTGCTTGTGGGAGTTGTGGTTCGCGTACGTATCTCGTGTTACTGTAATATGGTGCCTAAAGCGTTATCGTGTTCCGAAATTCCGGACGATTCCCCGCTCGGTTGCATAATAAAGCATTGGAGAGACGAAATTTTGGGTAGGAACTGAGTACGAAACAGTTATTCAATTACTGTAATAATGTGTGGCCCCAGTATGATACTGTGGGTGGTGCGATAGCCAGGAAACGGCACGATAGCATTGAAGGTAGTGGCTCCTTTGATGCAATGTCTGGGAGACGGTGGAGGATGGGGGAGATTTCATGTCTGGATTTATTTTGCTATTTGAAACGCGGGCCTGGGTGGCTGGAGGGATCCGGGATGCTGGCATTGAAGGTGTCGCGGGGTGAATGCGTGGAATGCAGAAAGCGGAGAGTGCGGTCTCTGGAACCTGAAAGGGACATGGCTTTGCTGATGTTCCCCAAGCCTTGCTCCTGCTGCGC